ATCGCCTACTTGTCGGATGCCTTACACGGCGTCTCTCCGTGAGTATGGATTTTTGCGCCCGCGAGTGTCACCGGTGATACGGTTTGCCTTTTTATTACTTAACGACAGTCCACTGAGCTTCTTGTAAAGGTATTTTTAATTGGTCGTATACCATAGTTTTATTCTAACTTATAAATAACTCACGTTAGCAGCAATTTGATTTCTGTTGCGAAGATATTTGAATTAGCTTTACATTTAAGTGGTTATTTTTAGTGTTGTTTAAAAGTTATGTAGAGGATACACGTGTTAAAAGAAATAACCCGTTTAAAAGGCATGGTAATTGGTTTTGCTTCAAAGTACGCTCGAATTTGTTGTGCCAACGTATCCCTATGCACGTGCATGTTAGTTGTTGTACACGCCGCCGCCGCTCATTAGCACGTTACGTGCAATGTTAGTCCTGGTCAGCTGTCTACTCACAATTACACATTTTCCGGCGCCACCGTGTTGTACACAGTCGGTGTTCACGGCTGCTGAGTATAACTTACTATTTCAACAAGTCTGTTTTTAAGATCACTAGTTTCTTTGAACCTTAAGTGCCAGAAAACTATAAGTTAATGAGAAGCCAATGTAATATATACATTTCGATTTTACGTCATAATTTATTATCTTCGAATACGTCTACTAAAGTCTGACGATATTGTTTTATGATGGGCATGGGGATATGATTGTGCGGGTGTTGTGAGGGTCTTGTTTAACTGGTTGCATCGGGGTGCAGTATATGTTGCTTTTCAACTACTGCGTTACTGCGGAAGCATGTTTAAGACGCCAAACAAAAGGTGGGGCTCTAGTGCTGGAGTATGAATAAAATAAATATTTTTTAGCAATCTACTTTAGATATAATGATGTCTTCAATCAAAGTCTGTGAGAAACGGATTATGTAACAAATATGTTGTCAGGTTAGTTCTGATGTCGTTTTAATTTTAACTTTGATAAATTAGTTAACTTAATAATTTCCTAATTTGTGATGGTAAGTGGGACCACACCCTAAATACCACCTGCTTTTCCTCAGTAAATTAGTAAAGCCAACGTCGAGCGCTCAGCAAACATCGCATGTTCACGGCTAGCGGCTACCGAGAGACAACATCCGCCGTCCCGCTCTGACGTCACTGGATATCCATATGGGGGAGCGGGACGAATGCGAGCCGCGCCGCGTGAACAAACATGTCATATACAACCGATTCCCGAGAAACGCGATGAATGGTAAGTATCGTTTGCTTGCTGACTGCATATTTTTAATGTTATCATAAGTTTTGATTTCAGGAAATTGAAGTCGAGATTAAACTTTCAACGCTCTAGGTTAAAACGTAAATCTTTTTCAATTTCCCAGTTTTTCTATTTATTTTAAAGCAGAAAACTGCAATTAAAATAACCAAACAAAAGTTATAAAGAAACAACTCTAACAATGTTATTTCTCACTTCGCAATAATTGCAGAAGCTAGTTTAACCGCCGCGGTGCAAAAAATCAACACTAGCATTTAACTAAATCATAAATTATTCAGCAGCTAGGGCACTAATTTGCACCGTAGCCAATATTTCAAGTCCGGCTGCGAGCGGCGGCGGATAGCAAATTTTATTATTTTGTGCGGTCGGCGTGCGGTCGGCGCGCGGTTGCTGTGCGTTCGATGTGCGGTTTGTGTGCGTTTGTGTGCGTTTGTGTGTAATTATGTTCATCTTTTCGTTATCCATTATACATTTGCAGGGATGTTACTTTCGAAGGCCGAGTGTACAATTTCTTTGCCACGCTACGGTCAAGAAACTAGTGATGTCCCAAATACATTTATATTTAGTTTTGAATTAAAATATTGAACATGTATTTTACTCTAAAGATAATTGAAGTCATTTATTTTAAAGACTGCTTTAGTTAACATGTAGTTATTATAAATTCATAGTTAAATAATTATAATAACTTAAAAGGCAGAAACAAGAACTTTTATACCCTTTACTAAAATAGGAAAACATACAGAAACATATTACCTCTTTTCTGAATTTATTAATAATCGCAAATAAATCATATCGATATTTAATAAATCGTGGCCCATCACTATGCGCTGTAAGTTAATTCTTGTGCGCGATTTATGTATGACAACCGCACGCGCCAATTTATGCCTGATAAAGTCTTATATCACAGTGAATTTAATTATATTCATTTACAATAAAATTGTCTGCCAGGACTTTGTAATTATTGTTAAATTAAAACGGCTTAATTTTATACAGTAACACAGATTCATATAATATTGTAGTCAAATAAGCAACGCAAATATCAACGGTAACCTAAAAATGTTAAGGTATTTTATAATGTCAACAGCGTCGAAAGGAATTTTAAATTAATTAATTCAACAAATCAGCAGAATGTGGCGTGCATTAAGTATTCTATGGGCGTCCACCAAGGAAGGACATTGTCACTAGCAATGTCCAAGCCAAGTATCTAGCCCTCTCCCCACCTTATACGGGTAAAACTGTTTATGATTTTGAAAATTATGCTTTTCTATAAGCATAGATTAAATTTTTACACGTACAGTCGGCTGCATAAATATACACAGATTCTGAAACTTGAACATGCTTTTAGTTTCAAATATATGGCGTATCCGTTTGTATGCTTCCGAACATGAATACAAGTTGTTGACGAAATACAGGAAGGTATGTCTGAAAGCAAACGCCGATACAGGAATCTAAAGCTTTGTAAATCATACTAATGTTAGAAATGCGAAATTTAAAATGTTTGTTAAAGTTTGTAGCCCAAACAGCTGAACCGATTTCGATGAAATTTGGTATAGATGTAGAGAATAGTCTGGAAGAAAACTTAGGCAATTCACTTTTGTTTTTTTTTTTAATTCCACGCGGACTGAGTCGCGGGCTAGCTAGTGTATACATATTTATACAGCTGACTGTACTTATTATTATTTTGATTGTATGCTATTCCACTGGAAAGAACTATCGGAGTTTTTCAATTACCGTTATTTTGAATGTGTACATTATGACATCTTAATTGACATTATTATCGTAGAGTAAGTGTTTACTTTGTTTTCGACAGCCCTCCACAAGAGAAAGTCTACCAACCAACTACTGCGTTATGTAGCGCTGTACTTTGTACTCTGATCTAAGATTATAAATATTTAGTTACAAATTGGATTTCTATGAACTATTCCCAATTGTTATATCTGTTTTGAAATTTCCAATGAAACTTTTTTAAAACTGCTTACAATCTTACCTTTCAAGATAAGAATTCAATTCGAAATTTAATTCAGTAAAGTATAAAAAGTACAAACTATATCATTTGTCGACATACAACTTACATCTCGTACTGAAAAATAGAATCAGTAATTGGTTTAGTAATTGCTAACGGTTGGTAGCATTGTGTTGTTAAGTTTGCGATACATTGCACCTTGACATTTAAATGACATCGAATACAAACAGCCATTTCTGATAAACCTGTATTAATTCTGAGATAAGGTGTTGATCGTGCTATCAAGTATTGTTATTGCCAGTTGCATATTTTACGGCAAGTATTTACGCTTGGTATTGGCGTCGCCACATGCAGTAGGTGGATACTTTTGGGTGTCATTACAGAGCATTGCTAAATGTAAAATAACTATAAAAACTATTGCGGTAGCTGCCTAGATAACATAGGTAGATTGGCTATGCTTGGTTGGGAATTATATCTCAACACTTACAATGACATTTCCAATTGTACAATAAGTAAGCATATTATATGATTCAGTCAGTCAAGTGTAAAAAGAATATAGTTCGCAATTTGCCTACGTTGTTCAATCGGAAGTTTGTGCGGATGTTCCCACGACGTTGGCGATGTGCGCCAGATTGCGGCGATAGAGGTTGCCATGAAGCCGTATGTTTACATTACGCGGCAAAGGTTTCGCAAAACTGGAAGTAGGTGGGTACTGTACCGGTTAGGTGAATTAAGAGTGAATTATTAATTTTCTTGTTAATTTAAGCAAAAATTACAAAAATAATAAATCCCTTTCGATTTAGGTATGCTGATTCAAAAGATAAACACACTTTATTAATTTGATTAACGCAAAGATGCTGTAAACATGTATGTTTGTGAAATCCGTGTTGCGTCGTCTTGGCTAATTATCTCCGATAAGTAAGGGAAAATGTATCGATATAATTTATTAAAACAAATTATTGGCAATACAGTTAAAATAGCTCTGCGTGTGAGACGATGAGATTACCACTTGTTCACTTTTATTCCATTAAAGAAGCTAATGGAGACTTAATACGAAGTTAAAACAAATAACTTCGATAGCAAACCCTTCTCCAGTCTTAATTACTGCTATATTTAAACTTTAGGTGTTAGTTAAAACAAGGATACGAAATGTTGTAGCAATAATTCACGCTTTTTATCGAAGGATCTTTCTACCTGTATATCAATACGGGACTAAATTACAACAGCTGTAGGTTTTTTACTGTCAGTTTAGATAAATATAGAGAAACACATTAAGACATTACATAATCTTTTTGTAATACGTTTTATAAATTAAAATGCAATCGATATACTTAAAACAGCATTTTATTTTAGTCAAATTAATCACGTTACTTGAATTTGCTGCAGCGTATAATTTAGATAGGAATGTAAAACCGCATTGGCGTGGTATTCTGAGTAACATCATTACAAAGCAAGCAGCGGTAAGACGTTGGCGGGAACCGGAGCAGACAATGGGCCGCCATCTGCCGGCTGCAATTCCACACAAATTGAGGAAATGACGAGCGATAGGCGTACGCGAAAACAACACTATATTGAAGTTATGAGGGAATGCGAAATGAGCATAGATTGTTATGAGATATAATCCAATAAAGGAAGATGTTGAATTGATATGGATGAAATATTATAAACATATCTTGGAACTCGCCGACGATAGCTTTTTGTTTTTGAAGTAAAAGACTTGAACAGAAACTACGACTACTGTGTACTCGTAGATAAATGACTATTCTAAAATACTTACTCGTTGCAAGAGGTGGTGGATGTCTGTGAGACGGTCACCAAAGTCCTGGTGGTGGTAGTCAGTCTGTCTCCCACGCACTTCCTCCGCGAACACTCGTCCAGCACTATGTCCTCTTTCACTGGCTGTAGCACTTCCTTCACTTTGTTAGGACCCGTTTTCACTGTCGAACGTTGGAACCTTAAATTAGCGTTTGTCTTTCCATCCGTACATATTTCAGTTTCTTCTGTAACTATCGCACCTTTTCGAGTCTTACAAATTGTTTTCGACGTCTTTCCGAATACATCTCCGTTCTGATGAACTTGTTCTTTGGAATCCAACAATTCAGCTTCTTGAGGTTGAGGTAGTCCGTTCTGTAACATCGTCTTTATTGCATCCGTGTTAAGATTCTCATCAAGAATATTATTCAGATCGTCGTAACTTTGTCGTATCGGTTGTCTTCTTTGGTCTTTCTGCCACGTTGATTCGAAACCGTAGATAGGTTCCGATTCGACACCGAACCATTTCGTTTCCGCAATACTTTCATCGGGCGCGGGGTCTATTTGTGTACCGTAATTATTGTCAAAGAAATCGTCTGTGAGTTCAGTTATCTGTGCTCCGGATCGCTTTGAGTCCATTTTATCAAAGTTAAGGAACTCTGTGTTCATTGCGTTCAGTTTCCTTTTACCGTAGAGTTGCCTGTAGTATTTTTCCTGGTCGCCGTACATCCAGCACACCTTCCACCACTGTTTGCACATTAATATGTTCGCTGAGTTGGAAGATTTCACTTGTCTCGTCGCTGTTGTCGACATTTTCACTTATTTTTGCTAAAAATGAGTAACCAACACTATTACTTATAATTTGGAAGCACTGCTGCTACAGTTTGGTGTATTCGATAGTGTTATGTCTGACGCATGTGCGTGCATAAATGTAAGCTAAGTAATAACAAGTAACTAATACCGCATCAGAGTTAAACTCTATATTAGAATAGGGTTATAAATCGTAAGACTCGATTATCTATCCCGTCTTTGGTTACATATCGCTGCTGGGAGGTTATTACGTATAATTTCGCTACCGCTGGCCGGCAGCCGATGGCAGCAGTAACGTCGTTAAATCGTGCACTTTTTCTTATTTTACTGTTGCTTTTACTTTAAAATTAAAATTATTATTCTAATAAATTGATGACCTTAATATTATATTTTGAATACATTAAATAAAGCAGTAGATTGCGTATACTTTGTTTCAAAATAAAGTAACACTGAAAAATCAAAAGTATTAGATATTTTGTTTAAATAAAATTTTCCCATTTCTATTTATATCACGAAGCACATATAAACAAAACTCGTTAAATTCTAATAGGTTTTTTTCTTCAATTAACTGGAGATCCTGTGTTATGACTCTCCAAAGGTATATAATTAAACTAACTTTACATGCATGTTAATTCTTTGTTTGGAGCTTCCGATGGAAGAAGACACGGTCTAACAGGTGGTCTATGACATAGTTTGGCATGTAACTGTTCTCTTAATGAGGGGTTTTAATGAAATAGCTTGACATAACATAGAGACGTTAAAAGTTGTTAAGTGATAACCATAAATACGTGCTAAGTTGACCATTTATGTTAATTACGATGTAGTTTATTGTTATTGGGAGATGGAATTTTAAAAACATTTCAACCAAGTTTTGTTATAAAATTTCATATATTTAGACTTAAGGAATGTGCTTAAATAGTTTTAAATTACTTGATACCATCTTACAAGAATTACCACTTAGGTGTTAAATTCAATGCAAGAAATGTACAAAATGAGCGGGAAAGCTTCCTTGTGAACATGCTTAATCCGTCAATTGTACAAATATACATGTTCTATACAAAACCAAATAGCAAATAACATTAGCATACCGTTAATATATTTATAATGCGTATTATTGACCCACAATGCGTCTGCCGAGCCTGCTCAGCGACATGCAAACCGCTCCTCTCGTTTGCATAAACTCTGTCCTACTCTCGCACCAATCATACCCTGGGTTAGACAAGGATAAACGTATATCTGTATATTCGTCTTCGTGTCAGGACCTGTTGTTATGTTAATTTATGCGGCATGTTTGAGCGCGTCTGCTACTGGGAAAATTTTGGTTAAATGGCCTTTAGAGATACGCTTGTGGATTTTTAGTTCCTGCAAATGCTTTTAAAAACCCGCTTTTTTAAATTCAATCTGGAATAGATTGAGATAATTTAAATTAAGAAAACCTAGTTCAGTATTCCTATGGTTTTAAGGCATCCTATTATGATTATATGTTTAGATTTAGTAATCCGTAAATCTAGATCGTTTTTTTCTTCCTGCTACTGAATAATGGTTTATTGGAAATTTATTTAATAGTTTTAAGACATTTATTTACGATCTCTTTATCAATCAACATGCGGCAACTCTAACGTTCAACGAAGTCGAAGTACAGTTCAATTGTGTAATGTTTAACGATTCCGCTTTGAATGAACTTTATAAATGTTAGCACATTAATAAAACTGTTGTATTGATTGAGGCTTAAGTGCTGCGGAGTTCAAAAACGTTTCCTTGATGAAGATAATCGGGAACGTCAAGATAATGGAGCAAATAAATGACTATATCATTCATGTGTAGGTGGCCATAGATTTGAATTGTGCTAGTCAGTTACTTTGTATTAAGAATTTTTAAATAACGTTATCTAGATCAACAAACTGTTTGTAACTATGTTAATATTATACATCCGTTTTCATGTATTTTATCAAAAAGTATAGAATTAAAAGAATATGTAAATATGTGACAAGATATAATATTAGCATCGTATTACACGTCCATTATCGATAGCTAGTATGGTAAGGTTATCCTATTAAATGGGAGTAATTGCGGATCACAATCTCACGGCTGTGATCTGCCTTCTTAAAGGACACAAGTAGTGCAACGAAGAGAAGCAAGCAAAGAGTTTATATAGTCCATTACTTAATATCTATAATTCGATTGGAGAGCGACGTGCGCACATCACGTAAGAAACTTGTCCGTCGAGATCGGCCATTAAGAATCAATTATCGGGAAAAATAAAAGCAGATCGGGAGTCGCTGCTAGTGTAGCAGGTTAAGGGGAGGAGGGTCGGACAGACTGGTTAAGTGGCACTATTTCATGTTAAAATACAATTTTTTTAAAGACAAAAAAGTTTACGTCAGGATTGCAAACATAACATTAGGTTAGAATAAAAGTGTGCCTTGTGGCACTTTGTAATTTCACATTTAACTGCCGAAATGGACCTTAATTATAGGCTGTAATGTACGATTTTGTAAAACCTAAATATTCAAGTATGTTGTCTTGGACCTTGGGCAATTTAAACATTGTTGTAAATATAATTACTGACATTTTATCATGTCCGACAGATACCTATTATAATAGTTGACCCAATTAACCGGTTAGTTCAACATTCTCATACGACTTTCACCTTTAAATCAATTAGCATAAGAACTATTGAGCCATCAACATAAACACAAGACTTACAAACGCCTGGGGATAGAATCATAATAATTGCAGGCGTGTGTGGCTGCACGAAGGTTACCTTTGCCTCGTAGACAATGACCAGCACATAAAAACTCACAACACAATAACATCATATTTATTGATTAAGCGATATTTTTTCGGTTTTGTGTATAATTGGCTCCGAGATATCAATTGACAACAATTGTTAACATTTATTACTAACGATCTGTAATGTAGTATTTGAAAGTATTTGAACAATATTAGTCAAGTGGTGATGCTTAAAAAAGCTATTAATTTTCTTATTAAAAAAACCAATAGATTATAATCATACTAATACTCCACGCGGACGGAGTAGCGGGCGACACCTAGACTATTTTTAAATGAACAAAAAAAAATTTAAGACTTCTAAAATCAAAGGATTTAGTAGTTATGAAAAACTGTCTAGATTAGAGAATTAATTAGAGCTATTGCAAAAAAAATGTCAATAGAACGTGTAAGTAACTTTACGTACTTAACCTTGGGACAAGTAAATCAGACTGCAATAGCACACGGAATATTGAATGTGAATGCAGTACTGCAGCCGAGAAGAGGCGAGGGCGTGTGGGGGAGGGGGTCTTGGGAGATGATTTGTAAATAACGGGACGACAGATCCCCAGCGCCAATTGCAGAACTTGTCGCCTTAGCGAATATTTTGTACTAACTTCTTGTTCAGATAGCTCGCTGTATATGCTTTTAAATCCAACTTGTAAGAATAAATAAGCAAACAATACAGTTATAAGCAATGGTATATGAACATTATGTTACGATATGATTTGTTAAGCTTATGAAACTTTTAAGAGATACAATTCAATTTGTAGTTGTTGGTGTTATTACATCACACCCATGACCAAGAGGGTAAGGTAGAGACAACGGACCTTCATTTGGTTCGGTCTTGTCTAAACTCTCTTGCTACTACAAATATACATGCACGTTGGTTTCTGGTGCTCTTGATTATTGAGTATTCTATTAATCTAGACAGTATAAGTAAAACATTAGTAAGTACTTGAAATTATCAAATGTTTTCCCAATAAGATTAATCTGTTTCTCTGCATTATGAACGTAGGTTTCGTTTGCAGACCACTTTTTATCAACTCTATACTTAACTACGTCGTCTATTTCTGTCATGTGTCAAAGCAATATCACAATCCAGTTTAGTGGGCTATATCCCGCTGTTAATGAATTATTCCTCGTCTTAAAATGTCTCGTTGAAGTCTCAATAACCTTAATACACGGCTTTTGTGCACACAAGGGTTGGTATATTTATACATGACATCCTTTTTCGACTAAATGTATTTTTATATTGTTTTTTTTTCTTATTAAATGAACGGGATAGCAACAGTCTTGCTGTACGCTTGTTTAGACAACGAAATCTTCTTGTATATGATAACAGATTTATGTTGTTAAAGATATTAATTCTTAGATTTTAAATGTAATTGAAGAGTTATTATTAATTAATCTACTATATAAAATTCCTCTCCCCTAATACAACTAGCTATGTTCTCATTCCCTTTTATGTGTGCAGACATACGAGGCGACATTTTTAGGTAACGTAAAACGGTTTCATTTCATATCTTAAACCACATTTTTGCTTTAAATATATCTTTGAAGTTTGAATTTGTTCTAATACTTTGGTTGCTTATTAGTTACAGCTTTTGTCTGCGTATAGTTTACGCGGAATTAAAAATCACTTATAAAGTACCCTATGTATTCTCCAGACTATATTCTACATCTGTGTAAAACATCGAAATCCATCGAGGAGATACATCCTTCCATCCTTTTATATCTATGTCACATTTATACAAATATTTCTAAGTAATTGCCTCACAGTGTTTACGGATCTTAAGGAAAATTGGAACCAAATTATATCACTGGCTTGCCCTCGTTTTCATAATATAATGCAATCAATGCAAATTAATATAATTTGAATTTTAATAGCATCTATTTAAACGGTATAAATAATCAGCTATGAATATAAATTGTGTTTTATGAGATTTTGCAACAAGAAGATTTCAGTATTCTTGTAAAGGTACAATATAATTAAATTAATTTAAAACAACTCACTAAACGCGTCATTTAAGAAAACATTTTTAATCATAAACAAATATTTCGGAAACACATTTTTTTTCGATTTTGCATAAATACAAGTTTTTTCCCCCAAGTTCTTAGTCGTTCAAACTTTAATAGCCCAATAATATTCTTTAACACACGGCTCTTTACAGTTCTTCGACCGTTTTTATGCAAATTTTATACTTCAAAGATAATTTTAAGTGCAGGCAATTACTTTTTGCGGTTTAAGAGACATGTATGTAACAAAACTAAGGTTTTTATTACTATACTAACGTAAATACGAGTACTTATTTACATAATATGCAGAAGACTTTAGTTATTCAAAACTATTCAGGTGCCATTTTACAATATGACAAGTAATATAATTATCAATGGTTTTTTTTACATTTTTACTTAACTAACTTGTTCTCAACTTTAGTTATCCAACGCATCTTGCACTACTTATCTCCGGAACAACACACTTGTAAAGAAATTTTTATGTTAAACTAGCTGTCCCCGTGCGGTTTCCTCCGTATGAAATTATAAAAAGTTTATTTTATTCTACATTTGTCAATCGACCATAATAACCTTGTTTTTAATGTTAGCAGCTTGTAGTTTATGGTCCCTTTCCCACATGAAAGTGTTTTCCAATTTATTTATCCCCTAAGTTTAATAGCATGAAAAAATGTAGCCTAAAGCGTGTCATAAATAATTATTTAAAAATGCTGTGATTGCTGACATCTTACGCCAACAAGTAGTGGGTATTTGGGCTTTATTATATTGGTATAGAGATATGTAGATGAATAACAATTCATAACACGTCAATCTCCTTCAGAAGTTAACGGTTCAAGGTAACAATGTTTCTGACCAATGACTGTTGTTACTAGCAATAAACATCGTAGTGTCACATTCGAGTCAGTATTTAATATTAAAATGGTACATCTATTCAGAGTAAATACAATGCGAAATATTTCAGGAGCGGCAGCTGTAATAATGAGGATTTACGGACGGCGAGACCGTTAAGTTTGCGCCCACGCGAACTTAACAATGCCTTCAGACCTGACTGGTGCGATACTCAGACAAACGCTGTACTGCCAACTAGCTTCTTTAACTGACAAGTCATTAAAGTAAACCATAGCATGTCAGACGAGTATAAATTTAGACTTGTTTTTTAAGTTACAAAGTAAATATAACAATGTAATAAGTGATACATCTTACTAATATTATAAATCTGAAAGTTTCGATGGCCTAAACTGCTGTACGGATTACGATGAAATTTGGTTTATATTTAGGGGATAGACTAGAATAACACGTAGGCTGTTCACTTTTTTTTAAACTAAACGCGGACTCAGTTGCGGGCGAAAGCTGGCAGTTTTAATTAGGTAGAATCGAAGGCTATTGTTTTTTAGACCTAGTGTAAAAGTAAAAGACATCAACGCGTTATTTTATTTCATTTCGTACAGCCATAAATAACAGATTGTTCGCTAACTAAAATAAAAGTCGATGTAGAGCTTGAACTACATTCTACACAAAAAAAAAAAACAAATAATTGTAGCTTGACATACTGGATGTAAGCATGATTTATGTCTAAGCCCTATGAAAGTTTTATCTGCAACTTGCTACGCTGCGACACGACGTGTTAATGATTCACTGCCTCGATACCGTGATACCAATATTTGTACAGCAACCCTCTATATGTTAATTATTCGGAGATTTATCTTACACTTACCAAAGTTATTAAAATACCATAAAAGATCTCTGAATACAAAATATAAAACAACTAATAGGTAATTAGCGCTTCACTATTTAATAAACAAAATCTGTATACTATTGTATCAGTGACCAGTGGCAATGTGTGACATCCGATCGATGTGAACAACGCAGCATATTTCCCATGCGCAGGCGCAGCAGTATGCATGGAACTTGAGGAATCGCACTTCGCCCGCGTGCCTTCTATTCGCGAAGCCGAAACATTTGCTAAAAGACTGTCACAATCTGATTTACGTTTAAACAATACACTACCTTAATGCGCCTCTACTGGATTTATTGGAAGCTTTTGAATACATGTTTATGGTCATATGTACTTGATAATAATAATAATAATTCAATTTAGTACACTTACAACGAAAGTTGTTGACAATTATTATTACTGTGAAACGTTAACATAAAAATAGTTACAAAATGCCGTAGAAAATACATTCCAGGTTATAGCTTTCAATTATTCTTGCTGAAGCGTCCGTAAATTTATCGACGTCTAACATCGATATCGATAGGCGCGCCGCTCTCGGCCGCAATATTAACGTCCTATCGACATCATCCCCTCACTATCGCCTTTACAATCACACGACTTAATCCAAACTTTCTTCGGAATTTTAGAAATGTTTCTTATTTAAAGTTAATTATTTTTAAAAGTAAATTTATACAGACCTAAATTAATGTTTATCTTTGCTAAGTATTCTACAATAAATGAGTGAAACTTTGGCCGGAAATATAAAAAGTTGTGATTACATTCAACATGAGGCTTTTAAAAATAAATGAATATATTAATTTTACACTATAAAGTTACAACAGAGTAAAATTACTCTTTAATGTAATTCACTGATAAATAAAATATTACAGAAAGTGTAGTAGTATACAAATATTTTTTTACAATTAAGTTCAAAGTATTTATTTGAAGGTATTAATCTTAAAGAGACTGTATCAAAGATTAAAAATCAATAGTTCATGAAAGTTACCGTAAAGTAAAGTTCTGTTTGTAATAATTAAAAAAAAATAAGATATTCAAAAATAATTAACATCAGGTCAGAACGTGGTCATGCACTATTATAACTTTGAATAAAAAATAGAATAAAAGAACCCCCAGATTTAATAAATAAATTTTAATATGACTTACTAAAAGTAAGAATCTAGTTAATAAAATTGAAAGCCATAAAGATGATAAGTAAACGTAGTACTTTTTGCAAAAAACAAAAAGACGTCTCTATTTAACTGTAAATGGTAAATTAATAAATAGTCTAAATACTAGCGAATTAAAGATATTCAATAATTAATTTCATTAACATAAAGTTAATTAATACTTATATTCATGGTCTCGAAGGGAAACAAGATGCTTTATGTTTTGTGTTGATGTGACTACACTCCTACATAAAATCTAACTTCAAGTTTATATTTCCTTCTATTTTATTTAGTTGCCGACATTGAAATGATAATTATTTATACGGATTTTTTTGTTTTCGTAGTACTATATTTTAACTTTGGCAACTTTCCGGGAACTGGTAAATACGAGTAAATTAACTGGAACATGGTCTTCTGTCGTCTCTATCGCGTAGTAGAGTATTCTACAGCAAGTAAATTACATCTTACTTTAGAAGATCGGGTCCATTTTGGTGGTTACTGAAACTTGTGTAAATCCTAACTCCATGACAAGACACACAAGCACTTTGTTGCAGAGAACAATCATTTAATTTATTATTTGTCTTCGTCTTAATGTTGATTAGATTCCTTGATTCAGTAAGAGATACCGATCTTACAAAAAAGGCATTATTTGTAATCATCAGTATTACAAGAGATTATACACAAGCCGTGTATATAAATGGTCTATTTGGACGCTACAAGCCGGGACCCTCGAGTGCAGCGCCGCGCCGCGGGCTATAAATGTTAATTATTACACGTCGCTCAGTAAAAACTGTTCAGCAGGTGCTGGCCGAGGCAAAGGCTGACATTATCGTTCAGTAACAACACTCAGCCGTTTTATGGCCGTTTTCATTTCGGTTTATTAACGGCTGGAAATGAATCATTTCAATATTACAAATGCAAAAGTACCCACAGAATACGTAATTGCGATTTTCCACAAGCGTTTTTGTTAATCTTATTTTACTGCATCAATCAATTTGTTTCAAATATTTGGTAGTACACGTAGCACTTTTTTTAAGGAAAACAAAAGCGTCAGGTAACCTAAACTTTTAAGAAGAGAATCATGGCAATTTTATGTAATAGTTAGGCGACCTACAAACAACTAGGGAATTTTGATAACGGACGTCCGTTCCGCCCATCTTAAATTTTTAATGTAACACTAAATTAGATCGTTATCGCTTATGTTTCATACACAACACAATTATCAGATACACCAAACGATAGTACGCACTCTTCCAAACAGAATCATATAAATTTGCGTACTATAGAAAGCGTTCCCACGTTACTTTTTGTTTCCAACAATGTGCACTGTAATCCTTTGTTGTTTCACTTTCTAAGCACACGCGACACCGTGTCGGACACCGTGCAGGGCGGCGGGCACAGGTGGAGCGTGGTGCCGGCACTTACAACAATAACACAGTACGCGAAGTTATTGCGCCAAAATTAAACACAATTATACAGACAACAGTGGTCGCGGCCGCTGCGCGCGCGCAACTGGCGGCCGCATAAGGCCCGCCCGCCGCCATCGCGCGCAACGCTAGAGACAGACATAGGAATTGTGATGCGCTAGACAGAGATAGAGTACAACCCTTTAGTCCTGCGTTAATTCGCTACTAGATTTTTCCGAAGCGATTTTTTGAAGATTTTACTACCGATGATTCATGTTTATGTTTCGCAAAGTTCACCTAACTTCTAGTCATCATAAAGCTATTGCTACTATTTAATAGTTTTGCGATTTTGTACTGTAAATAGGAGATTGTTTCTAACTTTTATTTACATATATAAGACTTCAACGCGTCACTAGTTAAGTACAAAATTCTCTTTGGCAGAGCTTAAAGCTTGTTATTCTTATTTCAATTTCGATAACAGTCTTAAAAGAGTAATTAATAAAACATACATTCTTGTAGAAATATCGTAGTCAAGTCAGAAGTGTGCCGCCCTATCTATGTGGAGCGTCGCACGTCATGACGCCAGATATCAGAAGCCGGAGAGAGGATGAAACAAATCGATCTGTCCCAAGATATGCTCGATATCGCGGAGACAGGCATTACTAATTGGCTTGTTGAATTATGCCTCATAGATTATACACAGCAGCGACTGTTGCGATTGTGACGGATTGAGGTAAAGAAAACCAACATTCTGTCCTATTTGCATATTAAAAAACATCATATTTTATTAAATTGTTCCGTATAAGGTGAACGGACGTAATACTGAATGGTTTTCAGAGCATTTGCTTTTTACCAACTGACGTCAAGTGGCCACTAGTCAAGTTGTATGACAATGCTTTAAGCTATTGACGTCATAGAGATCAAGTTATTCTTCTTTTTATCTAAAGTTACACTAAAGGATACGGACAAATCGTTCTGAAATTAGTATAAAAACGTAATGAATAAGTAAATGGGATAATAAGTTAAATTGTAATTAAATACTCGTGTTTTAAAATATGTAGTAAAAAGAGAGCACTTCTGCTGATTTTTTTTATCATTTAATATTACGTAGTTTAAAATTTTGATACATAAATTGTTGCAAATAGTTTAAATCAAAAAGACATATTCGATGGAATAATGTAAAACAAAGTATTGAAATTCACGAGATAACATAGTAATGTTACACGCCGCGCTGGGCCGGTCGAAGTGGCCGGCTATCATTTGCTACCTCGCAATCATCGTAATGACTACACGCCCGCGCCGGCTGCCCGACCGCACTGGACCCCTACCATTGCTTCTCGATCGAAATTGTTACATAACAATATGTTTCTAATGATTCCTGATAATGCTTCTTGAAGAAGCTAGGTTAAGAATTTTGTTCAAAGACAGCTAACGCTTCTACAATAACCAGTTTCTTTACAATGTATTGCCTTATATTTCGCAAATAATCGATTAAAAAAGTTTGTAAGTATTCTAAAAAGGCGTTACTTTTGCCAGTATATTCAAGGTTATACATTTATGGATGAATATATTTACTTTAATCGATTTAATGATGTTTGATATTCATATTTGCAGTTACTAGGAATTGTACAGATGAAAAAGCTAAGGCAATGTCTGCATCAATAAGGACAACTACTGGATATACAAGAGGTATCAGTTTTTGCCGGTGATACTTGTAACCGTGATACTTGTTGTTTCATTATTATATTTATGGAATAAATACGAATGAAAATAAAATTCTGAAAAACTATTTTTTTTTTACATTATGTCGTTTTAAAGTTATTCGAAATCCAACGACTCGTAGTAGCGGTAACGTCTGCACGCGTTTTAAAATTGAAAACGACGTTTAGAAGCTAAAAAGCACTTTATGTCGTGGGTCATAAAGTAAAGATTTAATTCCTGCCATATGATACCAAATCTTTATTCTGACGTGTAAAGATAACAACAAAGTTCGTTTGAAATTGAATTCTTGTGCTATGAACTTAGGGTTCACTTTGTTTAGTTAGACACGGTTGTATTGACCTGTCGACAGATGCTCGCCTGTGTCCGATGGTGCGCTGAGTGATGGCAATCTCTGAAGAAAGCTTTTCAATATAATTTTTCCTCGTCATATAAATGTTTCTGAAGCACGTCACTAACAGTTACATTACAACTGTGGTTCTGCAGAGATTTATGACATTGGTCCTGATAATATTGCTCTTTACCTTTTATAGTGCAATTTTTATGTCATTTGCTATTTTTTACTTCCAGGGGTGATTTTGGCGGAGTAATTACTTATAAACATTTATGATTTTATTGTATTTATAAACGATTAACCCATTTTACATAAACTCATTGTGTTTTATTCCAAGAAACAAACAAAATATACACAGTTGCGAGACAAATTTGATATTTTATTGATGTATGACTACTGATTTCGTTATAAAAAAATGTCACAACTCCTAGTTTGCGGGATGGGCAATAATAATATCATTCCAGTAAGCAGGTCGCTGTCGCAAATGAAGCGACACATTGTTCCCATAGACAATGGGCAATGCTTTACGCCGCGGCTTGCGGTGCGCGGCCGCCAGCCGCATACGGGCTGAGCTAACATCGGCACACGGGCCAACGTGCAAACATCACTATAGTCTATAGTATACCATACACAGTATGTATATACACACTTAGTTGCTCTCCATACATCAGTTTCGTGGTGTACCTGAAACAAATATGATATCATAAGTATTGTTACTCTATATTGTTCAAAACATAAATATTTGATTACTAGCTTTGCCCGCGACTCCGTCCGCATGGAATTAAAAAAACAAAAGTAAGTAGCCTATGTAAAAGCGTATCTCGGAATACCGATTGGCTGCCGAACCTTCGGCCGGCCCAGATACCGCTGGCGAGACGCCGTAGAGCTGGACCTGCGCGAGCTAGAGTCGTTCGACTGGCAGGCGACAACGCAGGACAGACGACGCTGGCGCTCTCTCGTGTCGGAGGCCAAGACCCATATTTGGGTCGCTGCGCCAACGCAGTAAGTAAGTAAGTAGCCTATGTGTTCTTTCAGACTATCCTCTACATCTGTACTAAATTTCATCGAAATCCGTTCAGCAGTTTAGGCTACAAACTCTAACAAACATCCATCTAAACTTTCGCATTTATAATATTAGTAAGATAGAGCTGTTTTTAATAGTTTTATATAATGTAGCGCCACACTAAAAACTTTCTGTTTCAAACGTCTTTGAATAAATTGTGTATAAACAATTAAATTCGATGTATTCTTTGGTTCATTACTTATTATAAAAGAGACTCGATCAGTCATACAACTGCACGTCACTATCGAAACGGCATCCGCAGTGTGGCACCGCCTTTACCTAGTACATTTCTGACCTCATGTCAGGAAGCAATTATATTTGGAATTCCTTCTTTTATTAACAAGGCAATGTAAACTTTAATGCCGCGTATTAAAGTACAAATTTCCAGAAAGCTTAATTAAAAACACTACAAATATTTTTGTATTTCTCGGAAATCCCATTATTTAATGTAAATAAGTGAAAATATGAAATATAATGTATCTTACATTAGTAAACGTTTAAAAATAAAAAAAATATAAATCAAGATGAACAATAAACGGAATAACTTTACCACTCCATATTTTAATTCCCAAAGACAAGCATAGTAAAAAAAAACCTCTTAGTAATTGAGGTATAAAACTATTCGACAAGGAATACAGTAAAAGGACATTCCTAACATATTTTAAACATCAACTGGCAGCGGGGATTCCGCTCATTTATATTCATATAATAATGTTTGTGTGATAGAGAGGGGAGGCAGATATCATAAATGTAATTTAAATGATACTAAACTTGATCTGTTAAGGTCACTTATCTTGAATATTCGTGTGAACATTGTCGTAACGTCGACTTAATTCATGTTAAAATTGTGCAGTGCTACAGGACGTATGTCCACCAATTTAAATACAGTGTATTCGTGATAGATCCTGTTATATGCGTGCGGTATATGTTGCAGATAAAACGATTTCATTTAGTTAGTGTCGACTATTGACGAGTGTAAATTACGACCGCAGTGTTGTAGCTAATCATCTAAATTGAAGGTAATTTAAAAAAGAAAGCGGCGACGAAGGCGCTAGCTTATACAAAATGGTTTATTGGAGTTTGGAGCCAGATATTTGAATCATTTAAATTTAAAATGAGCTTCAAAAGGTCAATGTGCTATCGTAAAACATTTTAATGAAAACTTTTTCAAACTGATAGACAAGTTTCTTTATCTGTTGTTGACAGTCTTGGAAATTTGATATTTTAAGAGCGGGCGCATACTTTTGACCAAACTACCGCAAAACTGTTGTGCGATTGTCGATTGTTTCACAACCAATTCAACTGTTACGTTACAGGCTTATAGGAATCAAAGCGCAACCAAACAGTTGTGCGATAGTTTAGTCAAAGGAAGCGCGCTCTAAGATTTAACATACCTTGTTACATTTGTATGGTTAAATAGTGTGTCATTTTCTATGTTAATTTGGAATTAACACTTTCCCATCAATAAAGCGTTGACACGAATGTGGCCGTTGCGAATCTACGCAAGAATTAACCTGCTTCAAGTAACAGTTATATTTTATTGCATAGCGCTGTAGCTTGTCACCCATGTATCACGTACATTATATGCAGTCAACTTGCAACAGTCATTTTAACAACCACGAAGAGATTTCATTATTTTTCATTAGATTATTAATAAGTGAAAACATAGGCATACAACAGAAACTTTACCTATAAAGAGCAAACATTTAACAGGTCACAGGACACTTAGTTTTTATATATCATATGATGCGAACAAGCGACCACCTTAATACGTAGTAATAACGAAGCGACCGTTGTATATAGACATCTGCAATTGCAGATGCGGATCCTACCTTTAATCGACGGAGAAGAGGACAGCCAGAAAAAGATTATGTCCCATTTATATTTGTCCCCACCCTTGTAAAATCCCTTACTCTTCCCGTCCTTTCCGTATAAGAAAAGGCTGATCTTGAGCCGACACATTTGTGCAACAGATGTCGTTGTTAGTTA